AAAGAATCTATTCAAAGAAAATTACAAAACATTACTACAAGAAACAGAGACCTGGAGAAGTGGAAGAATAGCCCTTGCACACCATGGGAAGACTCAATATTGTGAAAATGACACTACCAAAAGCAATTTACACATTTAGTGTAATCCCAATACAAATACCAATTTCAATTTCAATTAGAAAGGCAATCTCCAATTTCATTTGGAATGGAAAGAGGCCCCAGATAAGCAAAACACTCCTTAAAAAAAGAAATAAGGTAGGAAGCATCTCACTCCCTAATTTCAAAACCTACCGCTGCTGTGGTGGTCAAGACAACATGGTACTGGTACAATGACAGACACATAGATCAATGGAATAGAACTGAGAACTCAGAAATCAACCCATCTACCTACGGTCAGTTAATTTTTGACAAAGAGATGAAATCAGTTAAGTGGGGGAAAGACAACCTTTTTAACAAATGAAGCTGGCAAAATTGGAAAACTACCTGTAGAAAACTCAAGCAAGATTCACACCTCACTCCATACACAAAAACTAACTCAAAAATGGGTCATGGACCTAGGACTAAAACCAAGAACTATACATTTCATTAAAGAAAAGCTTGGAAGAACTCTAGAAGTCCTAATCCACAACAGTCTTCCAAGCATCCTGAAAAATCTACAACCAGGACACGATAAAATAGATGAATGGGACCTTCTAAGAATCAAATCCCTATACACATCCAAAAATTTTTCCAATAAGGTAAAAAGGGATACCACAGACTGGGGAAAAAATATTTGGTAATGACATGTCAGATAAGGGACTTCTATCTAGAATTTATAAAATACTTGAGTACCACAAGATAAAGGTAAATAATCCAATTGAAAAATGGGCACAGGATATAAACAGACATTTCACCAGAGAAGACATTCAGATGGCCAACAAATGCATGAAGAAATGTTCAAAATCCCTAGCACTAAGAGAGATGCAAATCAAAAAAACTATGAGGTATCATCTCACACCAGTCAGAATAGCAAAATTTAACACAACAGCAAACAACAAATGCTGGCGAAACTGGAACCCTTATTCACTGTTGGTAGGAGTGTAAAATGTTGCAACCACTATGGAAGTCTGTATGGTGCTTTCTCAAAAAGTTGTAAATAGACATACCATTTGACCCAGCAATTCCTCTACTGGGAATCTACCTAAAGAAACCGTAATTGCCACCCAGGCAGATATATGCACACCCATGTTTATTGCTGCTTTATTCACAATAGCAAAGAGTTGTAAATAACCTAAGTGCCCATCAACAAACGAACGGATAGAGAAACTCTGGAATATTCACACAATGGAATACTATGCTTCATTTTAAAAAAAGGAACTCATGCAATACTATTCAAAATGGGTGACTCTGGAGGATATTACGCTGAGTGAAATATCTCAGTCACAAAAGGACAAATACTGCACAGTGCTACTGTTGTAGAATGGGACTGACTTCAGGGTTGGGGTGAGACTGAGGAAAAACAGGATAAATTATGTATATTGTATTGAAACATATGAGGGAGAAAACAATTGAAAGGGAATATATGATTGGGTATTATGATTATGACAAGAGTCCAGAATAAAGGTTACATAGTGGAGTGTACTGGGGAGAGGGGGGGATATTGTATATAATGAAAGGATTTTTCTTTTACTTTTCAAAGAGAAAAGCAAACTGGGGGGAGGGGGGTGGGCAGGGAGAAAAATGTAACAATGAATGAATGGAAATCCAAAATCTCTATAAGTATTCATTAACATTAATAAAATTAAATTTAAAAAATTGTTAAAATGTTCAAATGTTTTAACTCAATACTTACTAAGAATACTATTTTCATTTCAACTTTTTTTTATTCTATACTAGCTTCTTTACAATGTATTCAGCATTATTTTTATCTTTTGCTATTTCCAAGACTCAATATACTATAACATTTTTACAATTCCTTTTAGACTAATCACCTGAAAGTAAATTGCTTCTGCTGAAATACTGGGCATTTTGGCCTTTTTTTATCCAACATCACGTTGTTGTTGTTGTTGTTGTTGTTGTGTACCATAAGTCAGAATGGATCCCTAGCTGACCATCTGATGCCTAGCTGACCGTCCGATGCCTAGCTGACCCTGCGATGCCTAGTTGACCTTCCGATGCCTAGCTGACCCTTCTCCAGCATTTTTGTTATGGTTTTTTTTAGAAGCTGTTAAACACATGAAAGGAGACTGCCCATCCTTCACGCTGGTGGATTCAAACCACATGTCATCGGGAGTGCAACTTTTTGCCACTAGGCCACCAGTGCTCCCTTTCTTTTTTTTATAGTGCTCCCTTTCTTAAATCATATGAACACAAAATTTTCCTACATTTTAAGAAAAAATTCATCCTTAGTCTTTTAAAATCTGAAAATGAAATCTCCTTCTTTCTTATTCACAGCCATCATTTCCACAGAATTCTTCTCTAGGACTCCGGTAGGAGCTCTCATGGTATGTTACGTATTGAGTCACTAACTGAAAGGTTAATGATTTGAATTCAACAGTTGCTATGGAGGAGAAAGATGGATGGTTGACAGAGGATCATGATGAGTCAGAATCAACTCAACAGTAGTGGATCTTTATGAGTTCGGTGTTTCCAGCAATTTTTAAAATTGTACTGCCAACTCAAAGGTACACAGTTCAACTCCACCAGTTGTTCTGAGGGTGAAAGACCAACTCTGTTTTACTGTCTCTGAAAATCCAGCTATGGGTCGGTTCCGACTTGACAGTACACGAAAGCAACAATCCCACATGGAAAGATTTATCTAGACATACGAAGAAGGTTGATAAACTCACTTCTTTTACTAACTCACTAGTATTATATAAAGAAAAGGATACCAAAATCAAACCTGTTTAAATTAAATGAAATTGTAGTTGTGGTGGTTGTTGTTGTGTACCATTAAGTAAGAACCAAGTCATAACTGACTTGGTTAATCGCACGGGAGGAGATTTCCCATCCTTCTCCTGTGGAGCAGCTGGTGGCCTCAAACCACATGCCTTCAAAATTGGAGTGCAGCTTCTTGCCACGAAGCCAGTAGAGCTCCAAATGAAATCAAGACCATTACGACTCCACAAAAGGAAGGTGTAGTATGTGGCAACGTGGGAGTTATTTTTTCTTTTCTTTTTTTTTTTGTGGATGATGATGATGATGATTTTAACAGGTTAAGAAGTTCCAAGTCCAGATTCCAGGTGCCAACTCTAGGAGAAGGCTGTCTTTTTCTGTGAGCTCTGGAGGAGAGTCCTGGTTTCCTTCAGCATCTGTAGACCACCATTCCATGGAGACCTCCTTGTGTCTTGGGTTTCTCAGTGCTAAGGAGCTTTCTCAAGCAGAGACTGAGCTGACAAGGATTAGCTGCACTCCTGGCAATTCTTTCTTGGTCCCCCTACTCTCTGATTTCTTCCCTTTTATCTCTGCTGAGATAAAAGCTGTCACAGGCCACATCTGAAGGCAATTTCTCTTGTCTATCAGGATTGTGATAGGATTCAAGGGTGTCAAGGGGTATGGTATTCCATTCTTAATCCTTTTACAACTATTTGGTTTATCAGATTATTGAATATTATTACACAGTTAACTAAGTATAATAGAAGAAGGATGCCCCTGAACTATGGTGCTGGAGAAAAGCACCAAACACACCATGGACTTGCAGGAGAACAAACAGGTCTGTCCTAGAGTGGGCGAAACCAACCTGCTCTTTGGAGGCAAGGATTCCAAAGCTCATCCTCACTCACTCTGGGCACATGGCCAGGAAGGGCCAGTCCTTGGAAAGGGACAGCACACACAGAGAAGTGGAGGGACAGTGCAGAAGAGGAAGACCCAAAATGAGATGGACTGATTCAGTGGCTGGAGAAATGGGATTAGGTCTGTCACAGATGATTAGATTGTCTCGGGATAGGGTAGGAAGGGTTCAGGGTGAATGTACAGAGGGTTACCATGGATCACTGGTGACTTGATGGCACACAATAACAACAACATCATGACATACATGAATTCTGGAGGGACATTGCTCAATGCATGAAAGCAACTAAGAGCAACAATAACACTAGCTATGTTTTTGCCTTCTTTGTGGACTTCTAAGGGTGCACTGAACCACCTCCACTGGTCTCAGCAGTTCTGGGAACGACTGTATGTGGTTATGTGTGTGACTATGTGATGGTGGATGGAAGTTATTTTTTATTTTCTGTTTTACCAGTTAGCAATCAGAAGAGAAGAGTTCTTAGAAGAAGACACTTTGAGTACCACAAGTTAGGATAAGGTGTTAGTGAAACCGCAAAAATAAGTATTAACTCCCAGAATGTATTATTATTGTTATTATTAATTCTTAACATCTTTAAAACTGTATTTGGCCACCTTTAAATTCACGCCTCAATATCTCTAAAAATATAAAGTTGTTGTTGTTGTTGTTGTTAAGTGCCATTGAGACATAGGCGACTCTTAGCGACCCTATGAATAAAAGACCTGAACACTTGTCTAACTTTCGTCCTTTCTCCAGGTTCATAGAGTTTCCAGAGGCAAGCTATTTTGGAAGTAGATGTCACTCCTGCTTCCAAGCTTGTCTTAATTGGGAAGTTCCACCAAACACTGTCCACCATGGGTAACCATTATCACATTTGATACATCAGTGTCACAGTGTTCAGCTTCACAGCAACCGCGTGTTACCTCTGTAAAGCAATGCACAGACCAGGGCTATACAACCTAGAAGAATGTTTGATAAAAAACAATTTGAACCAGGCCCGAGGGCCATGGATTAAAATCACCCATAAAAATGAATTAGCATATATTATAACCTTAACAAGAAAAAAGTCAATAAAATTCAGACAACTTGCTATTTTGCAAAAAGAGAAAAACCATGAATGATTGATTCAAACCTGCTGAACTAATTGCTTGTTGCATATTTTAAGATGAAATGGTAACATGCAATTCTATTCAATTGGAAATATTGGAAAAATTATCATGAAAAGGAAAGCTTACCAACAGAAGCTGAGTTTTTAAGAACCAACTTCTTTGGGGTTCCTTTTTCAATTCGTAATGTGGCCCACTGTTAAAAAAAAAAAGTTTTCATATAAATGGTTGATAGACTTAATTTAAAATACTTAACACTAGTCTTAGCAGATGTGGATTTAAGTATTGTACTGAGGTGCTGTTTAAGTGAAATTTCAGGCAATCTCTCACTTTTCAGTATGTGAAGTCCCAAGTACAATTATTAAGTAAACCATCATTTTTTAATTTTTTTTTATCCTATCTAAATCCCACAGTTCTGTGGGTGGTACAAGCAGCAATAGCTCTGGTGGCCTAGAGCCTAAGGAGTTATACTGTCAATCCAAAGGCAATCAGCTCAAATTCACCAAATTAAAGCTGCTGAAAACTCACTAGATTGTTTGCTATGAGACAGCTCCATATAGCAATGACTTTAACTTTTTAAGTAACATTAGTGGTTTCAACTCATCCATTAACACCAAGGGGTAAAAGCCTTGGCAATCTGCTTCCATAAACAGTATAGTCTAAAACTTACGGGGCAGTTCTACCCTTTACACATTGGGAAAACCATGATTATCAATTCAAGTTGGTAAAATCTTCATACACACAGCGGGTGCCCCAACAAATCCTTTCTTAACAAAGCCATAAAACACAACAAGAGGACAGGTTACAGAGTCAAGACTGTCTTGAGTTTAAAATTATTTAATCCCTATAGGCCTCAATTTCTCATCTGTAATATGAAGACCACAGTCTCAATCTCTTAAGATTGCTGTGAGGATTAAATGTGAGAACTCTTGTAAAGAACTAAACACAGAGGCCAAAGAAAGGTTAACTCCTGTTTCCATAATAAATTGGGTTCCTGGAGGTAAAACCCACTCAATGAAGTCTCTCTCATTACTGGCATCAGAAGTTAGTTTACAGAAGTACAAGAGCGCTAAACGCTGCTCTATCCTGTGCCAACCTCGCCGTCTCTGACACACTCATTCCCACCACCCCAAACACAGAATTGATCCACCTCATCGAGGGTCTTCCTCTCCTGTGCCATCCCTCCACTCTCCCAAACATGATGTCCCTCTCCAAGGACCAGTCTTTCCTTGCAACATGCCCAAAGGATGTCAGACAAAGCTTCAGAATCCTTGACTCCAAGGAGCATTCCAGCTTCACCCTATCCAGGACAAACCTGTTTGTTCTCCTAGCAGTCCATGATATATTCAATACACTTCTCCAGCACCACAGCTAAAAGTCATCAATTCTCCTTCTATCATCCCTAGTCACTGTCCAACTCTCCAATGCATTGCACGTAATTGAGAAGATTATATCCCGGATCAGGTGCACCTTAGTCTCCAGCCTGACATCGTTGTTCTTCAGTACTCTTGAGAGGTTCCTTACAACTGACTTTCCCTGAGTAATTCATCTCTTGATTTCCTGGCTGCTGGTACCAAGAGTGTTGACTGTGGAGCCAAGCAAACTAAAACAGTAAACTATCTCAATCTCTTCGCCAATTGATGCTGCCAATTGGCCCAGTGGTGAGAATATTTTTTTTTCTTGATGTTGAGTTTCAATCCGTACTGAAGGCTGCAGTCCTTGACCTTCTGCAGCAAGCGCTTCAGGTTCCCCTCAGTTTCAGCAAGCATGGTTGTGTCATCTTCATAAAGCAGGTTGTTGATGACTCTTCCACCAACCTGATGCCACATTTCTCCTCATACAGCCAAGAGTCTCAGATGATCTGTTCTACATACAGATTGAAAAGGTATGGAAACAAAATACATCCCTGACGGACCCCCTTCTTGATTTTGAACCATGTAGTGTCTCCTTGCTCTGTTCTGATGACTGCCTCTTGGTCCAAGGGTAGGTTTTGCATGAGCACAATCATATGTTCTGGGATTCCCATTCTTCTCAGAGTCAATGATAATGTTCAATAATTTCTGCACTCTATTGGGTCACCTTTCTTTGGAATGGGAACAAATATCGATCTTTTCCAGTCAGTTGGCCAGCTGGCTGTCCTCCAGATTTCTCGGCACAACTTAGTGAGCACATCCAGGGCAGCATATGTTCAAAATTATTTACTGTTGTTGTTGTTGTTAAATATCATCAAGTCAAGCATGACTCATAGCAACTCCATGAACAAAAGACCAGAACCCTGTTCTATATAACTATCGTTGTTTCTCTAAGTTCATCGAGTTTCCAGCAGCATGTTGCTTAGGAAGAAGATGCTAATCTGGCTTCCTAACCTGTTTATTCTGGGAGTTCCACCAACACTGTTCACCATGGGTAACCGTTATGGCATTTGACACACCAGTGATACAGCATTCAGCATCATAGCAACCCCACGTTACCTCATTATAGCAAACTAACAGACCAGTGCTTTACCACTTAGAAGAATGTTTGTCCTGAACACAATTAACATCAGGCCTGAGAGCTGCAGTCCAAAGCCAATCCTCAACTAAAACAAGAGAACCCACCTTCCAGAATCCAACTACTTCACACATGAGCCTCCAAACTAGAGACTTACTCGGGGCCCAACCAACATTTAAATACCAAAGTTCAGCCACCAGGTCCTAAATGACTCTAAATAAGAGGCTTCCAGCCCAAAGTTTTTGTTAGCTAAATCCAGCATTGTTAGCGGAATTTTTTACTACTTTAACAAAATATATATATACCACTTAATGAGGTGTGTGAGGAGGAATGTGGCATTAGAATTGGAGGAAGACTCATTACTTTAAAAAATTATTTACCCCTAATTTCATGAGGAGGAATGTGACGTTAGGATTGGAGGAAGACTCATCAACAATCTGTGTTATGCAGAGGACACAACCTTGCTAGCCAAAATTGAGGAAGACATGAGGCATTTGCTGCAGAAGGTTAAGAACTATAGTCTTAAAGATGGATTGAAGCTCAACCTTAAAGAAAGAAAGATTCTCACCACTGGGGCAACTGACAGCACCCTGATAGATGGAGGAGATATCAAGGTTGATAATAATTTCAGCTTGCTTGGATCCACAATCAGCACTCTTGGCACAAGCAGTCAGTAAATCAAAAGACAGAATGCACTGGGGAAATCTGCTATCAGAGACTTCTCCAGAGTTTGGAGTAGCAACAATGTCAGTCTAGAAACTAGGGTGCACCTGATCCAAACTATGGTCCTCATAATTATTGCTACACATCAGAGAGTTGGCAATGACTAAGGATTCTTCTATCATAAGAATTGATGCCTTTGAGTTGTGGTGCTGGAGAAGATAGTTGAACATATACCATGGACTTCCAAGAAAACAAACAGGTTTGTCCTGGAAAGAATAAACCAGGTTGAACCTTAAGGTAAAGGATTTTGAAGCTCTGTCTCATATACTTCAGGTATGTTGACAAGAAGGATCAGTCCATGAAGAAGGATATCATGCTTGGAAAGGTGGAAGGACAGTGCAGGAGAGGAAGACCCTGAATGAGATGGATTGGCTCAACAACTACGGTAATGGGGGTAGATGTGTCAGGGACAGTGAGACTGGCTCAAGATAGAATTGAGTCCAGGGCTATATAGTACATAGGGTCACTATGAGTGGCAGACAACTGGGCAGTACATAATAACAATAAACATCATCATCCTAGTTAAAAGGAAAAAATGACCTTTACACAGCACACCACAGAACTCTAACAACTATTTTTCTAAGTTTGGAAAAGGAACCTTCACAATTAGACTTAAGATTAGAATTCTAGAAGCTAATAATGTAAAAATTGACTGATTTGAGTGGCGTGGGAAGGAGGAAGCTAAAAAGAGGATTTATAACAATCCATCAGGATTTAAGCACTGGTGAAGAGGGAGGTGAACTGCATTTATTAATATGTCAAAGCAGAAAGTCTTCAATCTTTGGTAGGACTCAAAAGAGTTAAACAGTGAGGTCAACTAACAATAAAAATTAAGAAAACTAATGATCAAGAATAAATGTGCTGTACACGCCACAAAGGCCATGCATAATCTGATCTTTCAGTACCCTTGCAAGACAACATAAAAAGTCAAATAGGAACATGCCATTTGCACTTATAGAACAACCTATAAATAGAATTCTAATCTTCCAGGTTTCAAGTAGCAAGTCACTAAAGATAATAAGACTCAGGTTTAATCTTGTTGCATCTTTTCACCTTCCTTGCTAATTTAGTACAAGAGTTCTCAAACAGCAAACTTATATCTCCTATCTTTTCTCAACTGAAATTATACTTTCATCTTCAAAGTTTTCTACTTAAAGCTTTGGCATCTAACACTATTTGCCAAAACCCCAAAGATAGGCTTGTAAATAGCCAACTTTTATTTATCTCTGCATTCACTATTATTTTATTTTTTTTTTGTTTTATTTTGGCATGTTGTTGCTGTTGTTACATGTCCTCTAGTCTGCTGCAACTCATAGCAACCCTCTGGACAATGGCCCTAAACCCTGCTCTATCCTGTGCCAATCTTATTGTCTCTAACACACCTACCCCCATTATCCCTGTCACTAAATCAATCCACCTCATTAATCTTCCTCTCTTGCACTGTCCCTTCACCCCTCCCAAGCATGACATCCCTCTCCAAGGACTGGTCCCTCCTTGCAACATGTCCAAAGCATGTCAAATGAGGCTTCAGAATCTTCACCTCCAAGGAGCAGCCTGGTCTCATCCGCTCTAGGATAAACCTTTTTGTTCTCCTCTCAGTCCATGGTATATACCATACTCTTTCCCAGCACCACAGCTCAAAGACATCAATTTTTGTATCATCCCTAGTCACTGTCCAGCTTTCTGATGCATAGCAAGTAATTGCAAAGACTACAGCCTGGATCAGGTGCACCTTACTCTCCAGACTGACAGTGATGCTCCTCAATACTTTGGAGAGGTCTGACAACAGACTTTCCTGATATAATTTGTCTTTTAATTTCCTAGCTGCTAGTGCCAAGAGTGTTGATTGTGGAGCCAAGCAAACTAAAGCTATTAAAAATCTCAATATCTTCACTGTCTATCATGATGCTGCCAAGTTTTTGTATTTATTAGAGAGCTCTGGTGGCTTAGTTTTAAGAAGTTGCACTGCCAACCCAAAGACAC